ATGCATTACCTCATTAAGTTTCACAACTGTACAAAATGAAGCTGGTATCTCTATTTTAGAAATAAGAAACCAAGACTTAGAAAGGTACAGTAACTTGCTCTACATTGAAGAACTAGTAAGTAGATCTGAACTTTATGCTTAGGACTACCTGCCTACAAAGCCAATGGCTTTTAGTCCTTATACTACAGTATTTGCTACTTGCTAGTTGGTAATTAAATTTCTTTATTAACCATGGCCCAAGCCTCAGCATAGAACTTTCCAGTCATCTTACAAGTGTACACTATTAAGTTTGTGTAAATACCTCACTTCTACTGGGAAAAAAACCCCAAACGTAACAAAAAAAAAAAAAAAAAAGAAAAAGTCCTTCCAAATAGGCAGTATCTTAATGAGAGAAGAGAGTACATTATTAGAAGAAATGTAATATAATCTCTCCTGTATTTAGAACGGAATTTCATGGTATGAGCTAATTTTTATATACTGATAAAGTGTCTTCTATTATAAAACCATGTTACAGAATCTGAAGGTTAGAAGGGACATTCACATTTGAAGAATCTTCAAGATCCCTTCTAATAGCATCTGAACAAGGGGTGGCCCAGCTTCTGCTTAAGAACTTCCAATGGGTTCAACCCTTAGAACTCTGGGGGCGGACTGCCCCGGGGTGGGGTGGAGGGAAGAGCACTCAGGATGTTTGCTGCTGGACGAAGACAGGACTGCGCTGCCTGGAGGCTGCCTACTCAGTTTTGTCTCAATGTAGCAAGTGCAGTGCTAAGCCGGAGGCTGCAAGTATTGGTACCAGTTGGCTTTTGCTGCCTGACCTTGCCAACTTGTAAGAGGTTTGCCATTTATAGCTTGAGTGTCTGTGGTGGGTACAAGATGGTCAGGGATTATTTGTTACTCCTCCCCTTAAAAAGCGAAGTCTAGGCGCTTTCCTTTGGAGTCAGTTGGCTTCTGTGGCTGCAGTGACCAACAGAATTACAGCGCTAATTCCCAGGCACAGCCTCACTAGACTGGCAGCTTCCCTGTTCTTGCAATATTGCCTTTGGGACCCACGAGCCATGACTGAAGAAGTTCGACTATTTGGGGCTGGCATGCTGGAGAGACTATGTGACTGGTAAGCCCAGCGTTTTCCATTTCTTACAAGGCCCTGGATGTGTCATTAAGCCTCTCCACACCAGCCTTTGCACCAGCTGAATCCTGCTGAGTGACCTTAGATGATGCTTCATGGAGCAGAAGAATAACCTCACGGATCAGGAGCAAACTCCTGACCTAGAAAACTGTGAGCTATGATAAAAAGGTTACTTTTAAGTCACTGAGTTTGAGGTTCTTTGTTACACAGCAGTAGGTAACTGGAAAGTGTCTGTAGGATAGATGAGGGTTTTCTGATCTAGATTGGCGTCAGCCGGTCTTATGTGGGCTTGTCCCAGTGTCTGTGGGTCCTTTGGGAACTTTCATTTAGGTTGTGTTTGGCCAGGGTGGCTTACTTGAGACAGCTCTGCCGCATGTGTCTCTTATCTTCTTTGGACCAGTAAGCTTGGTCTTACATAGCCTTCCAATGGCAATGGCCAAAGTCCACGAGAGCAAGTTGAAACAAAGCAGAGCTCTTGAGACCTAGGCTTGGTAATGGCACCCTGTCATTTCCACTTCATTCTACTGGCCGAAGTCACATGGCTAAACTCCAAGTCAAGGGATTTCAGGAAAGACCTCATTTCTTTTTTGGGAGACTGTGCAAGATCCATCTATCTAAGAGTGTGAGTACAGGTAGAGGTGGACAATTGGAGACAATAATGCAATTGTTTACTTCATTTTAGTTTAGCAAACACTTATGGGATACGTTATTTGCAAATACTATGCTATTCACTTAGAACACAAAAAACAAGAGACCTAACTTTCTGCTCTTTAAATGCTTACAGTCTAGGCAGCCTTCAGGATGAAGGTCTTACTGTGTTTAGGTTGATTGGGGACCTAAACTTCCTTTTAGTTCTTTACTTCTAACCTTGCTCTGAAGATTTATGCCTGCATTAAACTTCAGACTTGGCATTTGAATTATGTTTTTATTGTTTTAGTGGCTTAAAATTTGGTAAGAAGTCCTTACTTGCTTGAGTCATGGAATTTTTGGTCTATGTTTTTATGTTTTTTCCCCCAAACATGAAAACATTTTCAGTGAAAAATTAATGACATATATGCACTCTCAGTCAGGTTGCTGTCAATATTTGCTCCACTGATTTCCAAAGGGCTTCACGCTTTCCTCATCTATGGATTTTTGGAGAGCCTCATGATGGTCCTCAAGTAGTGACTACATTATCCTTTAACATCTGTATTTAAATTGGGAAGCGGGAAGCCGCCATGCAAGGAGAACATACATGAGGACAGAGCACACCCCAAACAGGGATGCTGAACACTATCCCAACAGTGGTTAGTTCTGCTCATTCCTTTTTCTAGCCCTTCGTTCTCTTGTCGTCCATGCTATGTTCCCTGTGTGACTGTGTCTGTCCCACACTAGTATGCTCCACTGTCAGAGACAGACTTCTCATCTGCCCTCTCCTTCCCGTCTACCAATTTTACATTCTTGTGTCCTTTCTTCCACTGAAGGGTCTAGAGTTGAGCTCCATGAAGTGTTCAACTCAGTTCATTCTGCAGCATATCTTACCACTCCTTAATCCCCAGGCAGCATGTGGGAAGGGCACGGGCTGACTTGGGGGTCAGAAGGACCTAGGTTTTAATTCCAGCTCCACTGCTTCCTAACGCCATGATCTCATGCAAGCTACTTAATCTCTCTGCACCTCAGTTTCATATCTGTTATATGGGCAAAGTAAATCTTATTTAGCATGATTCATGTATGCTGTAATTGCAGTAACAATTACAAAGCACTTGCACAATGCCTGTATTGTTCTCATTGTTAGCTTTCTTTCTCTCCCTGCCCCAACATGCATCTCTCATGTGCCACCTTAGGACTGGTTTATCAAGAGGCCATCATATACTTTTAGAGTAAAACTTAATTTGTATGCATAGACTAATAACAGGTGTGTCTTCATATGACCTCATTTGAACATGTTTAAGAGAACACAAGCAATGTTTTAGAGCATTGACACTCACCATTAATTTATGGCAAAGTGGTGAGGAATTAAAAGTTACCAACATTTCACATTGGATATTTGCTTTGGCTTGAGGTTTACTTCAGACAAGATCCTTCGAGATTGGGCCAGCTTTTACTTTTCTTTATGTTCTATGACCCAGCACAAGACCTGGCACATCTCAGATGCTCAAATAAATGTTTGTTGAACAAATGAATGTTTCATTGAATGGAGTTATATGAACTAATGAAGTTTTAATTATTTTATATAGAAAGCTAGTATTTACGTTGTCTGGTTTTTGTTGGGACTTTGTTGGGCTGGCTGACACGTAGTAACCACGTTTTCAGTGCTCAGTGCTGCGCGGGCGTGGGCAGTGAGTCTGTGGGGTCTGTGATTGGAGGGGTGCAGTGTGACCACCTGCCCTTCACACTTTCCTCTGTGCTGCTGCTGTGCATCGTCTTTCCTACTAGATTGCAAAGTCCCTGAGGACAGAGTCCATGGCTTTGATTCACTCACCACATATAATTTCTCAGGGCTTGAACGTTAATTTCGTTAATTTTCCGTAATTACTGGTTAAAAGAAAGTTAACACTTTTTGAATTTTTGTATCTTGGTCTTTGTTCATCTGTTTTCTGTTCTGATTTATGCCGGTCTTCTCTGTAGCTCTTCCTTTGATCCTACCCTTGGCTTTATTGTTTTTTAATCTCATAAATGCCACATGATTTGTGGGGAAGTATTGAGGCTTTGAAATTAAACAGACTCGATTTAAGTTCTGAATTTATAACTTACTGGGTGTGTGATTTTGAGCAAGGTAGTTGCTCTTGGTGCCAGTTTCCTCATCCGTGAAGGTGAACGGTAGTGTGTCGTCTACCTGGCGGAGCTGTTTGCGAAACTGATTGGATTGGTGAATGTAAGGCTCCTACTCATAGCAGGGGCTCTATGGATAAGCAGGGGTTATTACAATCTTTATTTCCCTTCTCTCGACTCTTTTGCTATTTATTCTAACTACTACTTCCTTTTCCAATTAAAGAAAAAGCATTAATTTTTACCCCTGGCTCTTCTGCTAGCAGCCTCTGGAATGCTGGGAATTGCTGGGGAATGAAATACTGTGAACAACCAAACTTTCGATTTGCAGGAACCCTTATATCACTTTAAACATTGATAAAAGCCATAATAAGAATGACCACTATTTACCCCATTAAAATAATACAAGGATAAAGATGAGTTTTCAGCAAAAAAAACTCCTCAAATTATAAAACAAAGAACTAGAGAACTAAATGACATGTGAAGAATCTAAGAACATAGAACATATTTAAATTTATGTTTTTTTAAAATTCACTCTCCCCATTTATCACAATGGAGTCTAAAAGATTGCTCTCACAACAGGATCATTATCCCTAGTAGATTTAAGGACTAGTTCACTTGTATATTTCTCGAAATAATTGAGTTTGCTGGAATAAACTATTCAGCTCGATATTTTTCATCTTTCTCTAATACAAATGTATTTGATTCCTATAAATCTGAGTGAGGTTGGTCAGGAAATTATACATATTTGTTTTCCATGGGGTATATGAGCTATTAAGTCATGTTGCATTTATTATAGATCATGTTTGCTATTTGGCAAGATAATTAGAATGACTGAGAACAATATTTTAGAACATGTAATACAAGGAAAACAACCAGAAAGTAGAATTGAAGCAAATGTTCCTTATAATAAATGCTTTAAGTAAATATTTTGTTGTGATTCAAACACAAATTTGCATATAAAATACATAAAATGTCATTTAATATTATATATACTCTTCATTCTTATGGTTCCTATATGTATATATACTCTCTTGTGTAAGTACTTGCTCATATTACTTTTCACTTGGATCTCATGTAACTTGTGTATGTATTCCCATTCTTTCTTCCCATTCTAGCTCCAATTATGTGGATGTTCTCTTGGCTTTGTGCTATTTTAATTATTTTGGCTATGGCTGGTATGGACACAATAGCAAAGACCACACCATATATCAAGTTTACAAAGAAACCTGAGGAGAAAGAGATGCTGAAGGGACTAAAGCCATCCAGTGCCCTACCTCCGGAAGAAGAAGAAACACCCTTTACAGAAGTGGCCGGGACGGCAGAGCCAACCCCCGACCCCTCAGTCCAAGGTCCTGTCTTTGGCACGGCCACTCTCTTCCCCTTTGAAAACTTCACTCTGGATAAGGCTGATTTCCTTTTGAATTGTTGTGATTGTTGTTCATCTGTACCAGGGCAGAAAGGAGAACCTGGCGAGGCTGGAAAGTCAGGTATTTGGAAATACATAAAGCCATGTTTCTCCCTTACATGTCCTTAGAGTTGAGAGGTGGGTTGGAGGTACAAATGCCCCAAGGGTTTCTACATTGTCATGAACAGGGGGATGGGCCTAGGTGTAACATTTGTCAAAGGCAAATAGGTACCATGTGGCCCAAAGTGGCAGCTACTAGCCTTGTGCATGGCTATTAATAAATATTAAAATTAAATAAAAAAAATTCAGTTCCTCAATCACACTAACCATATTTCTAGGGCTTGTTAGCCACGTGTGACCAGTGGTTACCTTATTGGGCAGCACAGATGTACAGCATTTCCATCACTGCAGACAATTCTGCTGGGCAGTGCTGGCTAGAGCAGAGACCGGGCCTACCAACCCCAGCACTGGTATGCAGCTCTCCAAGTTACACGTGTTCACGACCAGGATAATCTTTTCATTAAAGGCCAATGTAAAAAGGGAAAATGAAAATTCTGTTATCTGGTAGGGCTGTACGCTGACTGATGGATTTTTGGAGTGCTATTTGTAGTTAGGATTAGAAATGGAATGCCTCTGAGGTGGAGAATAAAGCCAGGATTCAGTTTGCTTCTCATTGAAATTCTGAGTCAACACTGGATCCTTGCCCAGCAATTTTCTCCATTGAACGTCATGGTTACATATTTCAAACTTTCAGATGTCTTTCATATATACATTATGAATGTACTCTCAGTTTTATTGTAATATATTTCAGCTTTTACATGTCATGTAGCAGAGAATTCAAGGTAAGAATGAGATCAGAATGCCACTATGCAATCTCACTATGCCATGAAAAAAATTACACATAAATATTTATTGTGTTTTGCTTGAAGAATTTAAAGTTATAAAATGAGGAATTACACATCCTCATTAAGGCATTCATTTCATCCTGTTGTGGGAACCTTTCTGGAAATGTGCTCAATAGTTATGTAGAGCTGAAATGAAAGGGTAAGGGAGCTGGGCAGTGGTCTGGGCCACCAAGAGTTCAGGGTTGCAAGAACATTATTGGAAATGTAATGAGACTGAGAAAATTATATTTACCAGGATTTCTCTTAGTATCATATCTGGTTGGCAAGTTGCTTAGGAGTAAACACCCTCAAGGGCATGGTCAAGTAAACACAGCTGGTTGCTAAACTGTCTTCTGATGTTGTGCGTCTGTAACATCAAGGCTTGTGTTTTACTCACTGGTGGATTTAGCAGCTTTGTTCTCAGAGCTCAGCCCTTCCCATAAATACGTGTGACAGATACTCTGAGGGTGTGCCAAGTCATTAGCTTACTGAGGGCGCTCATGTGACTTAGTCTGCAAAGAGCACAGTGCTTAGAGGCTAAGCATGTTGTCTCGCATGGTCCCACCTTGGGGAAACTTCCTTACTTCTCTGAGTTTCTAAAATAGTACAATGGGGGTAAGAGTAATCCCAGCTGCACTGAGTCATCAAGACAACTGAATGACTTCATGTGTGTAAGGACTCGGTAGGGTGCCTGGAATAGAATAAGTGCTCAGCAATTGGGTTTATTGTTTCAATTAGCTGTGCCAGGAGGTTTTCCCTACCTCATGAAATACTCTGAGCCTGATAGGATCCTGTTTTTGAGATAACTAGAGAGGTATTTATTTTGGCTTTATCAGTGTTTTCAAAAACATAACTTTTTTAAAAATTAGAAATCTAGTATGAGAGCATCATTAAATAAACTTGAAAATAACTCATATCCTAATCTGTTCATTGAGTATTAGCTTATGCCATTTTCTTAGAGCTGTATCCTTTGGTTCTTTACATCACTAACTAGAGGGTAGTGATATCTGTATTTGTGTGGCTATTGGTTCAATGTTTATCTTTCATGGACTCTCAGCTCTATGAGGGTAGGGACTGCTGGAATGTTTTTTTTTTAGTTTTGTATAAATCTTTTAAAAAATTATAGCTGACATAAACTATTGTATTAGTTTTAACACAGTGATTCAACATTCATATACCTTACAAAGTAATCAGCATGTAAGTCTAGTAATTGTATATAGTGATGATATTACTATTGTCTTTAGCTGTACATTACATACCCATAGTTTACTTCATACCTGGGAGTTTGTAATTTCAATCCTCTTCCCTTTGGCTGATCCCTCCCCCCTACCCCTCTGGCAACCCTCAGTTTGTTCTGGGGACTCCTGGAATGTTGATAGCTGATTCCTGATACCTGGTAGGGTGCTTGGTTTATAGAAAGCCTCAGCAGTAGCTCCTGGATGAATGCATACATGAGTGAGTGGGAAAACCAAAAGTGCCAGGTATTGTGGTTTTACTTCCAGTTGAAAAGTGTGGTCCACACGAGGCTAAGGGTCAGGTAATCATTCAATTCTTGTTGTTTGACATAGCACTGCTTCCCTGAATCCTTAAATCACTGCCATGAATCCAGTGACAAGTACTAATGTGCCCAATTTATCTATTCAGGTAGTACAAAATTGCAAATTGGACAAAAATATTGTCGTCAGAACTCTCTAATAGTTTATTCTAACCCAGATTTTATCATTTGGACACTGACGGTCATTAGTCTTAATAAATGACTCTTTTATTCTCCACTGAATTATGATATTTTGAAAGAGAATATTTTTAGACCTTAATGCTTTTCAAATTTCATTTCTAGGTCCCGAGGGAAAGGCAGGTGATATGGGGATCCCAGGGCCACCAGGAGCCATTGGACCCCAAGGTCCAAAAGGCCAGAAAGGAGAGAAAGGTAGGTAATTATAGAGATTTCATGTCAAAACTCAAGGGATGTTCTGAATCACTCTTAGGACAGCAATTTGCTAAGTAAATACCAGATTCTTGCAGGTGGAATAATTAAAAAAATGTAAATTTGGTTAAGCATATTGTGAGTTATATTTTATATAAAAATGTTAATTTATAAATAGCCAGTTGAGAAATTTTAAACTTGTCTGGTGACATATCACACCCACGTGGGCACACACATCTTTTCTGTCTCTCATTGGCCTCACAGCTGACCCAGGGACTGGGCACCCTCTCTACAGAAGGGCCCCTCCCTGTGTCTTCCTCATGATACAAGTTAATTACATACTGGACAGAACTAACTACAGTAGGCCATCCTATCCCATTTGGCTGGACAGCCTGTCTGCAAAGGAGAATATGACGTAGCCCTCGCCTTACACTCAGATGGAGGGCAGTGGCCCTGGGGGAAGGGAGCCAAATGCAAGTGGCTGCTGTCAAGCATGTAGCAGTGACCGGTCGCTTCACCTCATCTGAAAATTGAGGGAGATAGACTAGATATTTGTTTAAACCATTTACTTTTAAAAGAGATTTATAGTCACGTAACTATAGATCTTTCATAGATCTTTTCTAGCTCAGAAATTCTATAATTCTATAGACGTAACAGTAAAGAGGGCATTCTATCTGGAAAATCCTGGTTCTATAAGTGCTTCAAGGGATTGAGGGAAGGTTGCAGATTCACTGGGACATTCAGAAATCCCTCAGTGAATACCGCCAGCTCATACAAATATCATCTATCCATCAAGTTAAATATTTTAGCCTCAGTGTCACATGTCAAAAGACCTAATATCATCTATACATCACCCTCCACATGGCTCGGGAACTGCCTGACTCATTTCTGTGGAACGTTCAGTGAGGTAATTACTCAGCAAAGAGGCTAAGGTAAGAGAGAGCCACTTCACACTTGTCAGTTATGTGATTTTCATTCTTGGAAACATTTAATCCTTTTGTTGCTGCATTATATTAGCAGAAAGCTCTGTGAAATAAAGATGAGTGATGAACCTCCCGAGTGATTCATACATTAGCCAGACTTCTGGAAGTAGAAGACAAAAACAGGGAAGTATCCTAAGATAAGGTTCTGAAGAATATGCTTTGATGAAGGATCAAAGGTAGAAATTCACTCAGCCAGACCATAGATTGGGGACTCCACTACCCTTTCACTTCCAGACTTAGTCTAAACTCTTAGTTAAGATCTAAAGTTTTTTTTTAAATAAATGACCTGAGTGACTGTATTCTGGCTAATCACAACCTCATTGAGGAAATGCAGTATAAGCATCTAAAATCCTTTAAAGGAACTTGAGAACCAGAATAACTCTGCAGTGAGGGTCAGTATATGAGCATGGACAAGGGCTGGGAATAGAAATGGCCCTTCACTTTCATTCAGGGTGAGTTTCTCTCCAAATGTTCACAGACATTTTCCTGATGGCCTTGGAGTTAATTTCCAAGTTTTGAATTTTAGGTGGAATGGCGACGGAGGAGCTAGCTGCTTGGAAAACGCTGCTGGGTGACTGAGGGGGGGATATCTGTCACCGCTCGTGAAATTTGGGGGAGTCTCCTCTTAGGATTTTTAATTTAATTTACAGTTTTCTTTTTCTTGACAAAATGAGAACACAAAATGTTAGTTATATATAAATAACGTGGTTGGTTAATCAGTGCCAACCAATGTACTATGCAGTCATGTTTGATGCTGTTCAAATTTCTGAACTTGTTTGTACTTCAGTTTCTTCTATGATAAAAGTGATGACAAAAATATCTGTTTTACCATTCTTGAAGGGAGATGCTATGAACTTTCTTAAATTAAAAGTGATCTAATTGATGGAATGTGCTCTGTTATATGGCCCCCATTATATGAGAGACTATATTGATATCAAATAAAAATTAACATTAAATTCAAAAGGCTGGATTAAATTCTAAAAGTCATGTTAAGAGTTTGGAACATTACCTCGTGCAGAGTAGATGATCAATAACAGTTAGCTATTATTATTGCTAATAATTAAAATAAGTCTAGTGTGGCAACACCAACAGGATGGGCCTTCAGCCAGGTCCAGTATAAAAATCCATTTTGTGGTATATGGCAAATACTTGAAAACCCTGATTAAAACTTCTTAAATAAAATTTCTCACAGTACTATAATTTGTCCAAAGAGTACATGAAAAGTTTTCCAAACAAAATAAAAATAGACTTTTCTTGATGCTCTGTATCAAGGACAGTATCTTCTTCTCCTAGACAGGTTTCGTCAGGATTTGTTTTAGCCAATTGCACAATGTTATGCTCTGTGTCAGACTTATGTGGGGCATGGCACAACCTCTCAGGCACTGTGGGGAATGTAAAGAAGAGGACATTTTAACTGTCATTCAAAATTCACGATAGGAAAAACACAAACACGTATGTATATAACACAAGGCAGAGTGCTGTGAGTTTCATGAGAGATCTGAAGAGCTGTGGAAACGCTGAGGGGATAGCTGAGCTCTGTCTGGGGAGGTTGGCACTAACCCCAAATCTCCTTTAAATGACTTAACATCAGCTGGAATACAATATTCCTAACGATGCTCAGTAATCTTTTCCTATATTGTTTTGCTTTATTATTTTTTATTGAATTTTTGGGTGACATTGGTTAATAAAATTATATAGGTTTAAGGTATACAATTCTATAATACATCACCTGTGTATTTGTATGGAGTGTTCTCCAGGCCAATCATATTGTTTTACTTCTACACATTTTGGTGAGGGAAGCATTGGAATGTAACAGGGCTGTGAATGGATGTTAGCTTTATCATAACTAATACAATTAGAAGAAAGTTAATCTTGGCATCATTTTAGGACTTAAGGGAGAACGTGGGGACCAAGGAACAAATGGCGTTCCAGGATACCCAGGAAAACCAGGAGAACCAGGTGGAGTATAAACCGTATCCATTGTAGAGTGTGAACTGTATCATGTGTGCAGTGTAGCCCTTAATTTTTCTCTTGTTTGTATGCAAAGTTATCAGGAGGTAAGAGATATGCCTCCTGATTTATAAATATAAATATATATAAATTGCTATTATTCTTCTGGTAATGCAGCGTACTGGTTACATTGGAGTGTGGGTACAGGGCTAGGAATGTGGAGACTAAGTAAAGGTGTTTGAACCCTGTTCCTCTCTCCAGCTGTCTTTGGGAAAAGACCCCTGCATTCTGGGTTTTGACTTCTTTGCCTGAAAGGTTTTAGTTTTGGTTGGACAATACAGAGATTTAAGAGAATACTTGGGTTGGGCTAAAATGCAAATATAGTGGAATAAAGTGGGCAACTATTGTTTTACTACTCTTTATTATCTTAAAAGTAAAAAAAAATAAAACTAGATACACTAGATCTAGATATAAGCTATCTAGATAATGCTATCAGTAGCATTAGCTCTTCCCATTATGGGACTGATGTGTGATGTGAACGGCTCAGTGTAAGGGTCTCACCTCAGTAAGAGGAGGGAAAAGACAAGAGGTTTCCAGGTTTCCAGCCCCAGTTGGTAGGTTTTGTTCCTATTGTGTAAGCTCTGTATTAATAGCATGTTGTTCATAGTCTATGTGGTCCTTAAACATCATTTGAATTTTCCATTTCAGGTGGACTCGGTCCTAAAGGGGATAAAGGAGACGTTGGACTGGAGGGAGTGAAAGGACAAAAAGGCTCAAAGGGGGACACATTTGTAAATGCTACGAAAGGAGAGAAAGGAGACCGAGGGGCTGTGGGCTCACCAGGCTTGAATGGAGAGCCTGGGGACAAGGGAGAGAAGGGGGAGATGGGGGATAAGGGCTACTGTGGGAATTCTGGGGAGAGGGGGGGAAAGGGCGAAAAAGGGGAGGTGGGGATGAAAGGAGAAAAAGGTAGCAAAGGAGATATGGGGATGGAAGGCAAAAGGGGTCCAGAGGGCCTGCCTGGAGCCCAAGGTGATCCAGGGGCTAAAGGACAAAAGGGGGAGTTAGGTCCTCCTGGTCTCATGGGACCTGTGGGGCCAAAGGGTGAGCTTGGGAGCAAAGGGGTCCGAGGGTCTATTGGAAAGAAAGGCTCTCGGGGCCTTAAAGGCTCCAAAGGGGAGGTGGCCAGAGTCCCACGGTCGGCTTTCAGTGCTGCTTTATCAAAGCCTTTCCCTCCTCCCAATGTCCCTATCAAATTTGACAAAGTTTTCTATAATGACCAAGGGAATTATAGCCCCGTCACTGGGAAATTTAACTGCAGTATTCCTGGGGCATATGTATTTTCCTACCATGTCACGGTGAGTGGCCGACCCGCTCGGATCAGCCTGGTGGCCTGGAATAAGAAGCAGGTCAAGTCCAGAGAAACGCTCTATGGTCATGAAATAGACCAGGCCTCTCTCCTCATTGTCCTGAAGTTAAGTGCAGGGGACCAAGTCTGGCTGGAAGTTTCCAAAGATTGGAACGGAGTGTATGTCAGCCCCGAGGATGACAGCATTTTTACTGGGTTCCTTTTGTACCCAGAGGAAACTTCTGGAATTTCACCTTAAACTTGTGTCTTAACACTGTAGTTTGGAGTCAGTGGAATATGGCAGGTAACATAGAATAGTGCTATTGAGAAAATAACTCTCATTATTTTTTATCACTATAAAAAATACAGAAAAAATTGTATCACTTAGGGTTCATTGCCATTGCTATTTTAAGACGTCACCTTTAAAAATAGGTACCCCTCCATATTTGGGAGCAGATGTCTATTCACTCAGTAGATAGCTTTTTCATTTTGCATTATAATGGTATTTCTCAAGACATTTAAGTAATTAACATTTGTATACAAAAAACAAATGAGATTTATAATTAATAAATATATTCTTACTAAACATCTTTTATATCTCATATAAATGCATGAAATTCTTTTCTGTGTGAACACGAGGCTACCAGCTGACATATCACGATGGGCAGGTATCACTGAAAAGTTTCTAATTCTGTTAGGAGGTTTGCCTTCCAGCGGAATAGAACTATGGCCATATTAGTTTAATTCGGGGAGAATCCCCAGAAAGAATGGTAAAGACTAGCTAACCTGTCTTTCCCACTAATCAGTATGTAAAGGTTTGCTTATAAAAAACCTGTATTATATGGACTTATGTGATGGGTAAAAGGTAAAAAGAAAGTTAATAAAAATGTTGCTCAGTTGAATCATAGCGAGGACCCAGCCATTCTTCACAGTACTGTGCTGAGAAGAACAGAATGTCCCCCCAATGATTCCAAAGTGAAATTAGATTATTACTGATCTGAGCATTTAGCCCTTTCTTCATGGAAGAACATTTAAGTTGGATAAATTCTTTGGCTTTATTATCATCGTCTCTATAATAATTAATTCCTACTATTCAGTGATAACACTGTTGGAACAGGTGGGCATCTGGGAATTCACTTGCAGTGTGAATATTTAATAATTGAATATATAATAATACAACAGGCTCATTTGGAAAGGAATGAATGTATTGAATCTAAATTGAATTGGAGTCAAGAATGCATGTAGTTAGGCAGATTTGCACATCAGGGAGTGGGTGATGGGGAGCCTTCTGGCCTTGCCCTTCTGGATGGACAAATCTGGCAGCTGTTATTGTGCGTTGGCAATGCTGTCTTCCACATCTTCCTCTTGAAGATGCATAAGGTACATTATTGTACCCCAAGGTTCTCACAGTAAAGAAATATAATTTCATTTTTTCTAAGGGTCCCATTTTTATTCTGAGTATAGACTCATCAAATAACATGCTGTGGAACAGCATTGTGTAGGATGCTAATTTTAGATATGCTGCATTAGTTTCTTATCTGAAGACTACCCAGCAGGCTGGGGTAAGTTCAGTCTTGACATTTTCCCCTTCCATGACCAGTTTTTCTCTATTTAGGCTGCAATATTGTTTAGTTGAGGCTTTGTTTGTATTTGTCAGAGGGAGAATAAGATAACTCACATGACTAAAATAGTGATGCTTTTACTTAGAATTTTTTCTTTTCCATTTTGAGGACTGGGTGTCAAAGACATTCATATATATATATATATATATATATATATATATATATATATATATATATACGCATGTGTGCATACGTGTGTGTGTGTGTGTGCGCGTGTGTATTCATTCCACATCAAAAGATGTGATGTCAATATAACTCTGCAGCTGGGCAGAGGACCAATAAGGGAGCAGTGGCTTACGTGGAGGATACATGCCATCCAGTGGTGTCTTCCATGTGTGGTAAACATTTCATAGGAAGTCTGAAGTTAAGGATCCAGGATTGGTGGTTAATTATGAACTTTTTCAGGGTATGTGCCCCAAGGAAGTTCTTAGCTGTTAAAGTGGCTTGGGAGGTGGCTTCTAGGTGCTTTCTGCCACTTTTTGCTGTGAGAGGGAAGTGAGACAACCGTGTTCCCTTTTTCAGCTCTGTTGTGTCTCCCACCTTGTCGAAAGCACACAAATAAAGACTGGGTCTCTCCCATCCCCAGGATTTGAATACAGCCCCTACCTACACCTACCCTAGTGACTACCAATTTCCAGACCCTGGATGCCTGCCCTGAGTATTAAACTGATGAGAGTTAAACTGACATCTCAGACTTAACACAACGAAACCAAGCTTCTGAAATTCCCCTCCAGCCGCCCCTCCCAGATCCTTCCCTGAGTGGGAATTCACAGAATGGCCACTTCTGGGGTCGCTCAGGCCAAAAACCTGTCATTTGATTTTTCCCTTTCACACTTAAATGCAACCTGTTAGGAAATCCTTTTGGTTCTTTCTTCAAAACGTATCCAGAATCTGCTTCCGTCACCCCAGTCAAGCCACCATCATTTATACCTGGATTATTTATAGCAATAACCTCCATACTGGATCCCCTAAAATAAAAGGTGTCTAGGGTTAAAATGCAAATGGGATCCAACATTACATATATTTAAATTTTCAAATTTATAAACCAAGCTAATAAATAGTTATTTATAACATTGTGGATTATCCTACTTTAACATATGATTTTATATTGATAAAGTAAAAAAAAATCTATGGTTTTTATGTGACTGACAGTAAATAAAACACCAAAGATGACTGAACTACTGTTGTGTATGTCTGGGAGTTCTATTAGCAGGCAGGTGAGGTTTGGGTGGGTAAAGAGGGAAAAACATTAACTCATGAATTACTGTATATTTATCCTATAGATATTATTTTAAAACTTAATTTTATCAAAATATGTTTTTAAAATCAAAATTTCCACATAATTTATGTTCAATGGACAGTTTTGTCGCATTAGACCACTTTTGTTGAGTCATTGTATTTTAACATTATATTTTAAAAGTTAATTTCAATTTGGTGAAACTGCTCAGATGAATTAGCAATCAGGTTTGGAAATGAACCATGAATTTTGCATCATGTTCAAATATTGTAACTGGGGTTGCATATGATATATTATCACTATTGTAAACAATACTGCAAAATATTTAAATTTCATCATATAAACTATGATCACTATATTGCCATTTTCATCATCTCTTCAAACAATATTCTAAAATCTAAATCTATCATGAGTTGTCAGTCTGGACCTGCACAAATACAAATTTGGAGAGATATGAATTATTTAATATGTTTAGCCATTAAGTCTGCAACTGTCACAAACACTAGGCAATTCACGAGCATCTCAAGAATGATGAACTAGAACACAATAAAAAGCAAGAAAATGAATGTTCAGCACAACTGAGATGTAATACTTTGTGATCCATGGCATTTCTACTCTCCAAGAGGAAGTAGATTACTTGTACTTCTCTTAATTAAGCACATCCAATGTTCAAATCCTCCCCATACTCCAAAGCAGTGTCTATCTCCCAAGTTTACAGCAGTACAGCCCACTAGTCACAATGGCCATTTGTAAGCAATCACCTTTTGTTTGGTGCACATAGGGCAAGAGACATGGAGAAGAGCTTCCCTGGGGCCTGAAAGGTGTCAATCGTAGGAGCACATGGTTGGACCGCAGGCTGTGCAGTACTGGAATTGAGCCCTGATGCCTAATAAATGCACCCTGGCTACTATCATATATTTACATGTTGTTGTCTGTTTTATGTAGAACTTCCTAAAGCATGGGGCCCAAGACGGGATCCTCTTGCTTGGTTCCAAAGGCAGTATCACCTGTTTCTGCTCTGACTCCCTTAAATCAAAGCAATTCTATTAAAAGGAAGGTAGATCATCACACTCCCCTGGGCAAAGCCTCTCGAAGCTTCCATCTCCTCCAGAGTAGAAGCTGAATCCTTACTATGACCAGAGAGGCCCCATGTGACCTGGTGCCTGCTTCCCTCTCACTGTACCTCCTGCCATTTCCTCCACACTTGCTCTGGGCATTGTCCTCAGTGCTGTTCCTCAAATTCCCCAAGCATATTTCCACTCAAGGCTTCGCATTTACTGTTCTACCTAAAAGGCTCTTCCCACAAGTAACTTGCGTGACAGACCCCTTTCTCTCTCCCAAGCCTGCCTTTCTCTTTCTTTCCTTCTCTCTCTCTTTCTCTTTCTTTCTTCCTTCCTTCCTTTCTTTCTTTCTTTCTTTCTTTCTTTCTTTCTTTCTTTCTTTCTTTCTTTCTTTCTTTCTTTCTTTCTTTCTTTCTTTCTTTTTCTTTCTTTCTCTCTCATCTTTTTCGTTTATTCTATTATAGCTGTCCCTATTTTTCCCCTTTTGCCCACCTTCACCCAGCCCACCCCTCTATCCCACCATCAATTCTCTCTCTGTTGTCCATGTCCATGCATCATTCATACATGTTCTTTGTTTATTCCCTTCCCTTTCCTTTCACAATTCCCTGCCTCCTACCTCCCCTAGGGAGGATCTACAGCTGTCAGTCTGTTCTCTGTTTCCATGTCTCTGGTTCTATTTTTCTTGTTAGTATATTTTGCTAATTAGATTCCACTTAGAAGTGAGTTCATATGGTATTTATTTTTCACCAACTGGCTTACTTCACTTAGCATAATGCTCTCCAGTTCTATCCATGCTGTCACAAAAGGTAGGACTTCCTTTTTTCTTTCTGCTATGTAGTATTCCATTGTGTAAATGTAACACAATTTTTTAATTCACTCATTTACTGAGGGGCAGTTGGGCTCTTCCCAATACTTAGCTATTGTAAATAGCACTGCTATGAGCATAGGGGCACATCAGTTCTTTTGAATTGGTGTTTTTGGATTCTTAGGGTATATGCCCAGCAGTGGAATTGCTGGGTCATTTAAATATCACCTTTTCAACAAGGTGTTCTTTGACACTCAGTTTTAAATGGCAGTCCCCATGCCCCACCCCACTTCCCTGCTTTATTTTTCTCCACAGAGCTCATCACTTTCAAATGTATTATATTGCACTTATAGACCTTGTTTATTTTCTGTTTTTCCACTGACAGTAAGTTCCACAAGGCCAGGAATTTTTGTCTGTTTATTGTTTGATCCTCAGCACCAGGACATTAAATATGGGTTTAGTGAACACAGATTGATAGGGTCTACACCGATGTGGTAGTTGTGGATCTCTTTATATGGTGGTGCTCTCAGATCA